ACCACAATCACACCACAGGAACCATGGGGACACCACAGGGACACCACAGGAACCATGGGGACACCACAATCACACCACAGGAACCACGGGGACACCACAGAAACACCATGGTCACACCACAGGAACCATGGGGACACCACAGAGACACCATGAGGACACCACAATCACACCACAGAAACCATGGGGACACCACAGAGACACCATGAGGACACCACAGCACCCTCAGGTCCCTCCTGCCCCACACTGACCAATGCCCCGTGGCTCTGTCCTGCCCATATCACCATGCTCCCACCTCGCTGATAAAATCTCAGCACACTTGGAGCAATCTGGAATGCCACCAGCTTTCTCCAGGTTTAACAACTTAATTGACCTGTAATTACTGCCCAGCTCTCATTTGGAGAAGCAAAGATCTCTTAGTTTAGATAAGAACCATCAGCGTTTAGATAAGAACCCATAACCCTTGGATTGCCTGTGGTGTGGAGCTGCACCTGGGATTTTGTGTGTGGGGCTGCAAGAGCCTTCTCCTGGTTTAAAGAAGAGCCTTTTCCCAGTTTAAGGAGCCTTTTCCTCGTTTAATGAGGAGCTTTTCCCCAGTTTAAGGAAAAGACTTTCCCTGGTTTAAGGAAAGGCTTTTCCCCACTTTAAGGAAGATCTTTTCCGCAGTTTAAGGGGGAACCTATCACCAGTTTAAGGAAGAGTCTTGCCCTGGTTTAAGGAAGATCTTTTCCCCAGTTTAAGGGGGAACCTTTCCCCAGTTTAAGGAGGAGCCTTGCCCTGGTTTAAGGAAGGTCTTTTCCCCAGTTTAAGGGGGAACCTTTCCCCAGTTTGAGGCAGAGTCTTGCCCTGGTTTAAGGAGGAGCTTTTCCCCAGTTTAAGGAAAGGCTTTTCCCTGGTTTAAAGAGGAACCTTTCCCCATTTTCAGGAGAACCTTTCCCCGGTTTCAGGACAAGCCGTGCCGTACCCTGTGAGCTCTGGCTGAGGCGGGCCGAGGAGCGGGTGACACGGGCGGATCTCCGGGAGGTGCCGTCGCTCTCGGAGCTGTCCGTGTGCTCGGGGTCCGTGGAGAAATCCGAGTCCTCCGTCCCATCCGAGCTGCTGCCCGCGTTCCTCTGCAACGGCACACGCTGCGCTCAAAAACTGCACTTACTGCTAAAAACTACATAAAATGA